TCTTCATTAGTTATTAATTGTATTGTATGTGGTATCATGATTATATTATCTATTTTTTCATTTAAAAATGTTCGTCATATTCGTGCTATACCAATACGTCAATTACGTACACAACTTCGAATAATGACAAAGAAAGATTTTCAATTACTTCGATGTCTTTTTGCTCATGATATTATTTATATTATTTTCAGTATTTCTATCAATATCTACAGTGGCGGCGGAGCGTGGAGGCTCAAGAGGCTTAAGCCTCACTTAGTTTTCAGCTCTTGAGGCTCAGCCTCAGTTATTTTTGAATTAGATATTATCTTTTATTATTAGAATTTGTTATGTTCGGCAGCTAACATAATTAGATATATGTTCTGACATATCTATCTTATAATGCGGTTCACCTATTTTTTATATATTTTTATTTTCACGTTGACCGTCGTATTTTTTACTGAGGTATAATAAAAAGAAGACTTAAATTTTACTTCATGTAGTAATAAAAGTTCAAAGTAGAAAACAATATTGTGAGCCTCACTTAGGTTAATGAGGCTCCGCCGCCCTTGAATATCTATTATGTTTATAATGCAGCAACACAAAAACAAACACGTACATCATTAAGACAAGCTATCGAAAGTTTTTCACTTAATTTTCTTTCTTGTCTACATGATATTCCTTATTGTGGCAGTTTTTTTTATATTTATAGTTGTATCAAAAGCATTTCGAACTGAATTGAAACGAATAGTTTACAAGATATTTGGAAAAAATATAATCGCCCTCCGAGAAGAAGACAATCGACAAGAAAATGTTGTTGATGTTGTAAACACTATTGTACCAATAGTTTGATTCATAAATAAACGAACTTTCCATATACACCCTTAAGATCTATTCGATTGGATTTGTTGTTAGAAAAGGTTAATTAAAAACTTTGTCGGGCATTTACAAAAATGTTTGTATAGAAGTAATGTTTATGACTTATGATATGACAGAATAAAAGACCAACATTTTTACGGTGTCATCCGATATGAGAAAAATAAAAAGTAAAGCATCATTTTGTCCTATCATACTTACGTGTAATATTTGTTATATAAATATAAGACTAAAGGCATACCATTTTTTACGTTGAAGATAATATTACTTATCTTTTGTTCTTCATATAAATAATATGCAAATATAAAGTAATTTCGAACAATAATTCGTTCTTTTTAGTTTAACTTTTGAAACAATTTAATATGGTAGAAAATCAGGGTTACACTGAGTTTGCTATGGAAAATAATCGTGCTCACAAATGGTGGCATCACAGATGGATTAAGCTCATCTGTATATCTTTCATCATTATAACAATTTTTGCAGTGACACTCTCTCTAGTCTTAAAATTTGTCATTCTTGCACCAAAGAAGTCAGAAACTACTACGATATTACCGTCAACTACAACATCAGCGCAAACACCTCTAACAACAACAATGATAACTACAACTACTGCAGCAACAGCATCCATAACGACCACAATAGGAACGACAACAATAACTACAACTACAATTGCTACAGCGATAACATCTCTAACGACCACAATAACAACAACATCCCTAACAACCACAATAGCAACAACGACAATAACAACAACAACTACGACCACAACTCAACAGTTAGGTGAGGTTTAAAGTAGTGCTAAGTTTAAAACTTCCATACATTATTATTTCCGTTCAGAATGGACAAATACCGGTAGTACGATTCAAGCGCGACTTGGTCACATAGCGTTCGTTTTAAGAAATGGAAAAGTATTAATTATTGGTGGATATTATGATGGTCATCTAAATAGTTCTGAGTTATATGATCCATCAACAGGTATTTGGACAAGTACTGGAAGCATGATTAATGCACGATCTGACTTCGCAGCATCTCTATTAACAAATGGAAAAGTATTAGTTACTGGTGGACGGATCGGTGATAGTGATCGTCTAAATAGTACTGAGTTGTATGATTTAACAACAGGTATGTGGACAGCTACAAGTGACTTGAATATTCCACGATCTGATCACACAGTATCCGTATTATCAGATGGAAAAATATTAGTTGCTGGTGGATTCTATAACCATCGTCTAAATAGTGCTGAATTGTATGATCCAGAAACAGAAATTTGGACAACTACTGGTAGTCTAAATTATGCACGAGCTGGCCACACAGCGTCCGTATTACCCAATGGAAACGTATTAGTTACTGGTGGATCTGGCGATAATTTTCTTATTTTAAATAGTGCTGAGCTGTATGATCCAAATACAGGAATTTGGACAACTACTGATAGCATGATTGACGCACGAGAAGATCACAGAGCATCTGTATTAGCAAATGGAAAAGTATTAGTTACTGGTGGACAGAATGATAATATTCTAAAGAGTTGTATATTATATGATTGGTCAACAGGAACTTGGACAAATACTACTAGTATGAACCATGAACGATGGGATCACACATCATCCGTATTAACCGATGGAAAAGTATTAGTTACTGGTGGAATTGGTGATGATTATTTAAATGATGTTGAGTTGTATGATCCATCCACAGCAACTTGGACCACTATTGCTAGTATGAATCATGGACGTCGATGGCACACAGCATCCATACTAACAAATGATAAAGTGCTAGTTACTGCTGGATATAATGGTCATGCTATGAACAATGCGGAACTATATTGAACATTACAAACTAATTAGCACTATAAACGACTTTTGACCTTTAACACGATTAATTTATTGAGGGTGTGGGCGTAAATATGTAAAGAACACATCTACACCGACACCCTCAACGTATCTTTCAAATCACATTTAATAAAAAGTTTATTTCAAGATAAAACAAAACATATATAGGAACTACTGTTTAATCTTCTATTAACCAGTAATACCAATCCGTAAAAATATTAACAGGTCCCATACAATATTTGTGAAGATAATAAAATATAGGTGAATAAGCTACTTTGACATTTGGATTAATATAAATGCGATTGAACCCTAATTTCCAAAAATCTTTACATATAAAATAACATTCTGATTCCATAGTTTCATCTAGTTGATTTTGTCGAAAAAATACGTTATGATTTATAAATGGAGCAGCTTTCATTATAACCATTCCATTCCATCCACTAAATACACGAACTGGCAATCCATTTCGTACTAATTTTTGATCGACTGGATTCTTAAAATATGGATAATAATTCATCAAATTGCTCTTGTTGAAATCTCTAGACACCAACACATCATAAAAAGCATAATAGAAGTCAACTCCACAAGCAAAGTCATACTCCATACTATTTGTATTGATTAAATTGATAACATCTGATACTTTATAATAAATATCATTTAAAAATATAATTCTCGTATCAATTGCGTTCCATTTTAAGTTGTACAATGGCTCTAATGCTTCATTTCGAATTTCTGATAAATAATTAAATCTATGAAATGACTTTTGAATTATTTTTTTAATTATAATTGTGTTTTGAATATTAGCTTCATTTAACTTTATTTTAAAAGCATTTAGTTGAGAGATAGTATTATCTGTACTATCACCATTTTCCATAATTGAAACAAAAACATTTGGAGGCTTAAGTTCATTGATTAATAAAAGTAGTTCTTGTGTCCAGTTATCAAGTATCTTTGAATTGTTAAATAAACAGGCAGCAATATACCAGTTATATCTTACTTTTGATTTAATTACATTCTTTTTCGAAGGTATTATAGAATGTAAAAAGTAAGAACTAACAACTATTATCATATATATAATAAATTTTCTTCTACCCATTCATAGATTTTATAACTATTTAATCAAAATCTTTGCAATTTATTTGATTTGAACACGATGTATTGAATATTAAAACTTGTCTCTGTTTTTATAGAGTTCAGAATATATATTTATAATCAATTATTTCAATAATATCAGTTCTGAGTTTCAATCTAAAAATCAAATACATTGAAGAAATTTCTGCAGTTATGATACCGAAAATCGAGTCTATACAGTACTCTAAACTACATTCTTACCGTTGTCATGCGTACCTTTCTTTCTCAAGAAATGTTTCTTAATGTACATATAACATTTTATGCACAATTGCCATAAAAAAACAGTGAATGTCGATTAGCTTATGAGTAGTTCTTTTTCTTTTTCTTTCTGTGTTAGAAGATTTATTTTTTATGCGTATTGGTGCCGATTTGGACACTTATTTTTCACTCTGTCTCATGACGAACGAAGCATGTCAACTACTTTCGATTTATTTTCAATCACGATTACGAAGCGTTTCTCTCCAAAAACAACACACATACAGTATTGTTGAGAATGAGAAGTGACTACCATCCTTAGAGTAAAAACAGCTACTATAACTAGTTTCATATCGACCGAGACTTTGTTAAATATAGTATATGTTACTGATGTCTTAAAATGGAAGATGTGACTTGCAAATAAAAAATACTATTCATCTAAAATGATAGAAACTATATGTACTTTACGTTGACGAAGAAAAAAAAATTGAGAGTGGGTATGGAGGTGTATGTTCAACTTGCTTTTCATTCACATCCTCAAGATCTTTATTATAAACAAGCAGTTGATATATTCCAAGGTACAAGTGATCTGTAGTCCAAGCATACTGCAGACTATTAACTAGAATGTTCTATTAACGATTTTGCGATGAAAATATCTTCTGATTCCGAACCAGTTCAGTGATTCATCAATGATATAAAACCAGTTGTTCAATAACGTGGGTGTAGGTAGTTGAGTAAGAATATGATGTAATTACTGTGCATACCCACATCTTTACCTTTTATTATACCATTTTTTATTTCCTTTTCTCTGTCTGGAATATAAAAGTCTGTTCTTTATAATAAAATCATCTTTCTAGATATAAATTGTTGCCGTTTGTCGTCACATTAAAACATAATGAGAATAAGCAGATTACAGTGAAAGACTTGATAAGTTCAATTAGTATCACCATTCATTTTGATCGTTTGCAGACATAAAAAGTATTTTTAAAATATCTAAAGGAGAAAAATCATATGTTCTTGTAATTTCTTGATTGACAGGTGTTTAATCTACTGAATACAAGGTGGAAATTACCGATGAAGAATAGAGAAAAGGAAAAAAAATGTACACGTTGATCAAAAGAAATCAGAACAAGAAAATCGTCAGATAACAAATGATAGGTTACTTTTCTTGATACAGTGACAGCGCTGCTAGTTTACTTGAACTGAACTTCATCTAGAACAACTGGTTTCAATTCGATCTCTAGTGGGCATGACAACAAGAAAAATTAATTTTTTTTTCAACAATTTTAGAAATAAATCTGTTAGAAAATATTCAACAACAGCAAAATTATTCTAAATGACATTCAGACAACCATTTGTAATATCAGCAGAGATTAATTATAATAAATCTTTATCTAAAACAAACTTCTGCAAAGTATGTGGTGATGAAGCACGGATTAATAATTATGGTGCCTTCTCTTGCCATTCATGTAAAACATTTTTTCGTCGCAATGGTTTTCGTCCTGAAGTTTGTGGTTTAAAGTATTTTTACACCAGATTTCTAATAAAATGTGCCTTTCTTTTAAATAGATTGTTCGTCCATGTCAAAACAATGGACAATGTCAAGTGAATAAAGTAACACGAAAATTGTGTACTGCATGTCGTCTTTGCAAATTTTTTGCAGTTGGTATGCACTCGGATTTAATTCGTAAACCAGATCATCGTATTAGAAAGAATTCGTCTTCAATTAAATATGAGACGACTGAATTTTCAGATCATGCAGCGATAAGAGTATGTATACATTGATAATAAATGTGCAAACAAGCGCATGATATAAGAATGAGTTTGATTTTATTCTGGATATTTTTTAGAAAACTCCGTCGAGACATGGAAGAATCGTATCACTTCTTTGTTTTCTTCTTCTTTGACAAGTATACTCAATTTTGAGTACCAGTATATATCCAAAGTGTCGCGTATAGATAAGGAGAAAGACCAAGTATCTGAAGCAAAAGAATAAGGTAATATAGGAAAATTCCAATGATAAATATCACCACATCACAAAAATAAAGATAATAATGACAATACTCGGGAAATATATGTAATTCAAAATTTATTTATATCATTGATCTCTCTTCTGTTTTAGTCTGTATCGCAATTACCAACATTGGATCTTCTCAATCACGATCGATCTTCACTCACTACATCTCAATGGACATTGTTCTCAAATGTTCTGCATGCTCATGACAGATTTAGTTTGATGTCGACATTACATCATATACTGAACAGATTATCTTCGTCGTATCATGGAGCCCGTTTTAACGAAGCAAATGCTGTTGAAACGATCGGCGCTATGTACATATCTATGGAATCATTCATTAGTTGTACACCTGATTTTCAAGTGCTCAGTGTAAATGAACAACAATCTCTTCTCAAACGAAATTTGCATTGCATCGGTAGTTCTTGTAGTAATTTTCTCTTTCGCGACGCTCATTTTCTTAATAATCCTGAATGCTTTCAAATTTATAGAAGAGCCTACGGATCGGAAATGACTAATCAAGCATATCATCTCACTAAACAACTAGATCTTGATTCCACACTAATCAAATTTATGCTCATTATAGTTGCATTCTCTTCAAATTCTTTTCTTGTGGATATAGACGAAAATATTCATAATGATAGTCTTCTATTGGGTACATTTCGTTTATTCGGAAGTCAAAATGTTTATGTGGAACTTCTATGGAAATATATGGAATATCGATATGGTTATTCTGAAACAGTAATTCGCTTTGCTGGACTTGTCAAGCATGTACTCAGTATGATTAAACATGCAGCAAATATTTATATAAGCAATGAGATTCATCATGATTTCGTTGCTGAAGTCGTGGAAAAAACAAATGAAACACTCATTAAAAATCAAAATGAATTGGTACCATTATGGGGAAAGCCATTATTAGCTAATTAACATTAATTTCTTTTTCTCGATTGTAACATTTTATCCTATTGAATTCGTAGAAATATTGTCAAGAGAAAATCGTCTTCTTAATTTTTAATAGTATACTTATCTGTTGAAATAAATAAAATGAAAAAGGGTGTCGGTGTGGTTGTGAATATAGAAGAAATATCCACACTCTTTTCTTGTTTGTCATCAAGCGAATAGCATGCACATAGACAAGGATATTCGCGGAAGAACGAGACGCGGCTTTGACTTGCAATCTAATAGATAAGAGATATACCTTTACACATTGTGTGCTGTAAAACTTGTTTTGAAATTTGATAATGCATCAACCTTCTTACACAACTGGGAGTAAAAGAAAAGAGCGTCAGTGGGTTTTTTCCCAGTATCTTCAGCTCAATAAAAACAGAGTCGTGTGCACATAGAACACGCATTGAAGTAGAATCAGCGTTCTGATTAAGATTGTCTGTATAACAGTACTGTTTCTATTCATTTCTTTTTCTTATTCTATTACCATTATCTACATAAAGATATTGTTTTTTCTAGATTTGATTCATTTCTTCCATTTTTCTAAACAAACAACGCTGTTATGACATCTTCAGTGATCACTCCACGTGGCTTGACATTTTACGACGTCAGTATACACATACCGGATAAACTCATTTCGAAATTTTTGAAGAAACATCTTCCTAATGCTGAATGGACGATAAAATCGGGAACTTCTTATCGCAAGCCTTTGCCTCATGTTTTTACTCATAACAATGCAACTTCGATCTCTACGACTGGTAGCAATGCGGAAGAGTACCGGCGCGTCTACATTACTCTGTCTCCACCAGAGACTGTCGATGAGTTTATGAGACAACGACCCTTCAAGCTTAAGGGACAGCCATTGAGAATCACTCGAAGTCTGCCAAATTCGTATCGATTATATGATCGAAGTGTCACAGGTATGAAAATTCAGATCCAGCCAGTTGATAACAGTCATTCATTAACTAATAAACCCACTGAAAATGATTTGAGAAAGCACTTGCAACAGCATGGAACCATTCTTCATTTTAAGTGGACGAATCCAGAACAAACAGAAGCACTATTTCAATTCAACGAGTAACAGAAATAGCTGACTTCTTGCTTCAATACATCAATCTTTTTCTTTTGTTTCAGCTTCGACGATGTCGATAAAAGCATTTTGTACAATCCATCGCTGACAATGAAAGGATGCAAAATTTATATGGAAAAATTTCGAACAGGTACGAGAAAACAACGAGAACCATCATTATTCTGACTATTTTTGATTTATTCAGATGAAGATTGTATCGTGTATGAGCATCCATACTGTATTCATGTCACTAATCTACCCATTCGCGTCACATGTGAAGAGCTCGCTGACATGTTTAAAGTGTCTATTACCTTTATTCTTATTCATCCTTGTTTCCAAATTGAACACTCCCATTCGACCAGCGGACGAACATCAAGTGAAGCATGGATCAAACGTATCGCTGATCAGCAAACAGCACACATGTTAGCTCGTAGCAATTCTGGAAAGATCATACGGAAAAGTATAGTTCAATGTAAAGCAATGCTTGAACCCATCGATGAAGAGGAATTGTGCATCAATTTTCAGAGAGGTCAATGTATCTATACAGCATACACCTGTCGATATAAACATTACAGTTGCTACGAACCAGATACTTGCGATGATCGATACTGTTGGTATGGACACAGTGAAAAACGGACAACAGTATCTTATAACCGCCCAATATACCGTAAGTGAGCAGTTAATTATCATCTCTTTATTGCATCTTTATTGATGAGCAGGTTTGGAAAATGCACGTTATCGTATCAAGTTGAGCAATCTTCCTGGCAATGTCACACGCGAAGCTCTCATTAAACGGTTGGAACTAAATCAGAAAAATACACAGCATCTAGTTCTGGAACCAGTACATCATGAAAACGTCGATTCTCCAAGAACAGCCTATCTGATACGCCAACGAGCAGAAAATTGCGCTCGTCTATTTATGAATAGATGGCATAATACACCGTTCTCAGCGACAAAATCTCAAAAAATTCAGTGTCAATTGGAAGTTAGCCAAGATCTCTTCGAATGGAATGATTTTAAAGATGAAACTCGATCGGTGAACAGTAGTCGATGTACATCACCAACGCGAAGCATTCACAGCAACTTTTCTAATAGAACGCGACCGGGACGACTGTATTCATCTGCCGCTAGTGTTAGTATCCCACAACAGAATATGCCCAGAAATATCAGTGCGGCTAGACAGTCACGTGTATCAAAACAGATCTCAACGAATCAGCCGACTGTTGCAAAAGGCAAACCTGTTATCAATTCGTGGAAATTGAGATCAGGTAAGATAAGAACCAGCACATATATGAAGTGTTGATTTTATTTATTTCAGTGACCGGATTTTATCCAATACCTTTGGATATGTTCAATACGTCTTTTCCATGGCGCTGGACGAAGCAAATGGTACCTATAGATCAACTAGATCATGATCAATTGTATTGGATTGAGAGTACATCGAATAAAAAGATGAATGCAATAGCAAAAATCTATGTAACAAAAAATAATCCCACAGCATCGTTGCGAGCACAACGTGAGCTAATGGCTCTAGAACGTCTGACGAATCTGAGCTGCACACCAAAACTATTAACTACCAATGTCAGAAATGATCCTTCACCCAACAAAGATCTCTGGACGACCATGAAATTGATAGACGGCGAAAGGCTATCTGATTATATCAAAAATAATAAACCTGCTCTGAGAGAAGCCTTACAGATTACTCGACAACTGATAGGCGTCATCAAGCAGATTCATACTCATAATATCGTTCATCGGGATATTCAACCAAAAAACATCCTCGTAGGACAACGAGGACAATCGAACGATATCTCTTTGGTATTGTTGAATTTCACCTCGGCTTGGATACACGATGACGCGGGCGTCGATTTGGCAGACACCGTTGGCAATCAGTTGGGCAATCAATTTTATCGTGTACCACAATTTGAGGGAGCGGAGGGTACGACCAACAAGCAAATTCAAAAGTATCAATGCGGCCCTACCATTGATACTTCGAGTATCTGTGCCATTCTCTTTTGGATGATTACTGATCATGAGCCGCGAGAATCACGTAATATCGATGACAAAGCACCACATCAATTACGAGATAATCCTGAATTAATCGAGGAAAGTATAAAGGATATCATAGGTATGATCTATTTTCTCAATAGTTTTTCACTTAATCACTGGTTATTTCACTATTGAAGGTTTTCACATCGACAAAAGCATTTACGACCATCTGGAGAAACATTTGACTCTGATCTTTGATCGTGGTTTTGCTGGTCCTGATAATCAATGGTCAGTGAACGAACTCGATTACCATTGTCAGTTCTTTCTTGCCTTGCTCAATCATGGAAACGAGCAGGTCGATTATTTTTCGGTTTCAAAAAACGTGATCGATTATCCATCGATTTCCCTCGGCGACCCTATCTTTTATATCGTATCATTGATCTATCACTTGAAAAATAACTTGACGAGTCGTTACTGCAAATGTATGTGTTGGTCCACAAACGGAGAAAATCGATGGTCAATCCATGGCAACCAGATTGAAAACCATGATTTACTGATTTTTCGATATCAGCAAACAACTCTTTCGCTCGATATCTATTGGAATGTGAAAATATTGACAGATTCGCGCTTTTCAATTCACCTCCAAGCAAACGGTCCTGATAAGATTGTCATCCAATTGCCTCTGGGTATTTCGTCTATCAATGCACCCACACATGATTTCGATACTCTCTTTAGAAATTTGGAAATGGATATAAAAGCGTTCATCGATGTTTTATTACAATCAGTAGCATGAATGAACCAGTTTGTGTGTGGTTACACATAATATTTTATTGCTTTATTTTTTGAATAAAATTTCACTTAATATTATATGATAGTTTTTCAATTATATGTAGTGGAATGAACTAAATGAGTATCACCCATTCAAAAAGGGATTTTTATTAACAAAATTCTACTTCTTTAACTAATAGATAGTAGTTCAAAGCGTTCTTTATATCAAAAATAAAAAAATAATGTTTCATCAATTACGATGAAAATGTAATGAAATGTTTTGATAATTAAGTTGTTCACTCGATGTTAATTGTGTTATTTAAAGTTAAGTAATTATACTACTAACAGAAAAAATGAAGAGAAACTGAAAATATACGAAGAAATAAATAGCTTCTTCTACGTAGGTCTATATAATAGAACATCAATCACTAAAAGATTATGACGTGTATAGTCTATCTTACTCAAATCATTCATCACATAGATGCATCAGAATATCATCATCTACTTCTTTAGAAGAGAAAATGCGTTTCTATGTCTAATAAACAAGCAAATATGAGAGTGATAGAATTATTTTAATAATAAATCTGTCTTCAAACTATCGAATTGATATACATGCTGCCTACATTTTAGTCGTTGAAGTGTTCAAATGCTTTTTTTTTAATGAATCAGTTTAAATCTTGGATTATATTTGCACGCATGTAAATATTTTTTTACCTCAAAGTACATCTGAAACGCGTTTTAATTTGCGTGCGAAACTTTAACAGTGAGCATGTTTGGATGCTTCGTAATATCGCTTTTAACCGGATCTGGAGGTGTTTTATTATGAAACCGCGTTTCAACGCATCAATTTTGCATTCCGTAACTACACGATATATTGTGTATTCTAACGTCAAAAATAGATAGTACCTGAGCTTATTAAATGATAGTGAGATATAGAAACAATTTCTCATTGAAGTAGAATCAAACAGAAATAACTCATCATTTGAGGTTTTTCATGTATATAAATGATGATAGATATTTGACAGGTGGAAGCAACAGTGTGAATAAAGTTCATTCTTTTTATAATCTTTTGTATTTGAACCCTTTTTTCCTTCTCTAAGTACTTCCCTGGAACACGCCAACTAACAAATTCTCTATGTGTGCATTAATTCCTTTTCATTGATGTGTTTTATAACATTATTTCTCTGACGTATGTTACATATATATATATAGACAGATAATCATTACTAAAGTTACATTTTCTCTCTAGTCTATTCCATCTCAATGTCTTCATCAATATTATTATTTTCTATGCAACAATTATATCGAATTGGTGGTCCCATATTATTATTTATTGGTATTACAAGTTGTATACTAAATTTGTTAGTACTAAGAAGAATTAGTCTACGGAAAAGTCCATGCACAATGGGTTTAATTACTGTCAATATTGTCAATTTTGCCTATTTGTTTTTCGGTTTGCTTTTTACGGTACTTATAATCGGTTATAATAGCGATCCTAGTGCAAACAATATTGGTTTTTGCAGATTTCGTAATTATATGAGCTTTATACTTGTATGTTGTGAACCATCTTGTCTTATTTTGGCATCCATCGATCGTGTATTAGTTACTTCACCAAATGCTGGAACTCGAAGACGCAGTACACGTCGATTAATGTTCATAAGCATAATTGGTATGTGCTTATTTTGGTCTGTATTTCATATTCATGCATTGATCTTTACACAAATTGTACAATATGGAACTAACTACTTTGTTTGTATTCGTCAACCAGGTGTATACTCTGAATTCGTAACATATTATTCACTTGTTGTTACTGGATGTCTTCCACCTACACTCATGGCAATATTTGGCTTTTGGGCGGTGAAAAATATTCGTCAAATGCGTCGTGTTAGACATAATGCTAGTACAATAGGTACTGGAACTGTAGTGGTTGGTGGAGCACATACTCTGCGATCCAAAGATCAACAACTTATCCGAATATTAATTATTGATATACTTAGTTATATTATTTGTAAGTATCCAGCTACAATCATGCTCATCTATCAACAAATCACAAAATACAATAATAAAACGGTTGAACAAGGACAAATTGAACAAGCAATTGTTGAACTCATGGCCTTTCTATATTTTGTGGAAAATTGTATCGGTTGCTTCACAAATATGTTTGCATCGAAGACATTCCGTGCAGAACTAAAACGTATTCTTTTAAAATTCTCTCAATTTTTTCGTTTTCAATAACATAAATGTAACAATTCCGACACTATAACATTGATTTTGTATTTAGTATTAATAAAAAACAAATAAATATTGTCAAGTTTAACAATACATACAAATATATTCGATACGATATGAAATGTACTACTAAATTCATTATCTTGTGGATGTGGATGTAGGTATATCTCTCCTGTATCTCGTCCACATCCAAATGACATCTATCTACATATTTTGTTCTTAATGATCTCTTTGCTTTTAGTCTCGCTCACCAAATGTTCTCACTTTTAATTATAATTATTTATATAAAGTTTTATTTTTATTTTGCAGTATACATTCTACTATAATGATCATAATAACTCAGATGAATATAATTTATGTTTTAGTCTCTTAATTTTATTATTAAAAAATACACAGAAAAGTAATTACATCGTTCTAGGATGATTTTAATATTAATCCTCGGTAGATAGCTGAACATGAGATAGTTTATTTGCATGTATATATTAAAATAATTCATTAATCTTTTCTATGGATCTTATCATGTATAAATGAATCATAGATAATTATTGACATGCAATTATCTTTTTCTCATATTATAAATAAAATTTGACGATTTATGTATGCTGTCAGACTCGACATAAATTCTTCATTTTATTTAGCATGTCGAATATAACATTGATTCAAAATTATACAACTGATCAGTCGAATTATGTCAAATATATTATCATGCAAACTTGTTATATTCCATCTATTATCTGTTCTATTTTTACACTTACGAATTTATTATTAAATCGTAATCTTCGCTTAGCTCTTCATAATCATACATCAATTATATTATTATGTATTTCTATTTTTGATTCATTTTTCAATCATCCTTTGACATTAAATTATCTACGTATTAGTCATATAGTACCATCAACTGACGGATTATGTCTCTTTTGGAATTTTACTAATTCAATATTTGTTGTTTCAACTTATTGGACAGTTGCATGGGGTTCTATTGAAAAACATTTATTTATATTTTATTCAACATTATTTGCTACACAACGTCGACGAATATTATTTCATTACATACCTCTTCTATTCACAACTTTTATTTATCCAGTTGTATCGAATATCATAATCATTCTATTTTATCCATGTGAAAATCATTTTAATATGATGTCACTTTACTGTGCATTTCCATGTGCATTATATATTCAATCTGTAGCATTGTATACTCGATTTGCACATAATTTTATACCAACTTTTACTGTAGTTGGTTTTACCTTAGCTCTGCTTGTACGTGTAATTAAACAAAAACGACAAATGCAGAATAATCAATTCAATTGGCGTAAATTTCGTCGAATGATTAGTCAACTATTGCTTCTCGTAGGTCTCTTCCTTTCAGTAACCTTACCAGCAACGACTGTAAGTATTATTCAAAATTGTTGTCTACCAACTTTTGCTGCTACTTTACAAAAATCTTATTTTAATTTTCTAATTCGATTTCTTACAATGTTCATGCCATTTATTTGTCTTATTTCATTTCCTGAAATTTGGTCTAAATTATTATGGTGGAATAATATTCAAATTCATTGAGCTTGAACTTTTTGTTATTGTTTTTCTTCATTTATATAATCATGTATTTCCGTTGTCATGTTTCAATGTGTTTTTGTTGTGAGATGAGTCTTTTACATTATGGCGTATCTAATAAAAACGAATGGGTTTTTAATTTGATCCATTTATTAAGAGCAGTGACGAACCAGCGGCTCAGATGTAGGTATGTTAATAAGCTCTAATACCATACCATGATAAAAAGACTGCGTAGCTATTATCTACATTTATGCTGCAAACGAAGCTGCCTTATTCTGATGTAATCCATTTGAACTATATTAATTTCAAAATGTTTTTGAATATTCAAAAAGGCAACACCTGACAATCTTTCCTATCCCATACTATTTCTTAAAGAAGTTTTTAATCTTCTTAACGACAAGAAACTTCGTTTACATTCATCGATGACAATGCTATGTGAAAATTGTTTTCCAGAATGAATTTAGCTGCGTCTAATAAATTCATCTTCTGATCGTTTATCTTAGTTTGGGAAAGTCGCTGCTCAGCTTTTAGATCATCATAACTAGATGAATAATATTCTGTTAAATCCTGAAGTTCTTTTTCAGTTAATAATTCTTGACTATATGCATAAATAAATATTATATTTAATTTTTTTAGGTATGATAATTATTGATGGAACGTGTCGAATTTTATCCGTTTTGCCTAGATGATTATCGTCCTTTTCTAGTTTTAACTAAGTTTCAAAGAAAAAAGATCAAATCATGATAATTACATGATTTTCTCTAAAATTTTGAATTTTTAAAGAATAGATGATATTTGATTAGCTACAAAATTCTTAGATATAGTTTCATTTAATATAAAATAGAGGGTCTGAATTCGTTTATCTAAAAATCATTCATTTGATGAATTGAGTTCTTTGAAAATATTTGCAAGATAAAATGAAGTTTTACCAACAGGGACAGAGCAAGACGTCATCCACTTTAAAACTTTTTTTGAAGTACACACTTCTAAAGTTCCACCATTTCCCTCTTCACTTGTTTTAATAATGTTGAAATAACAAATAATAAATATAATAGAATCGATAAATAATTTTTTGTATTGTAAAGTTAAATTTCAGACATAGGAGTTGATCTGTATTTGTTTGTTATTCGATATATGAATGAATTTGAATATAAAATTCAAATAACAAAGTTTTTTTTTCTCTAAATATAAATATCCTTCATATGACTATATCAATTTTTTGTGATTTTCTAATTCCATAAGTGTCATCTATGATTATAAAAGAATATTATTCATAAATATATTGCCTAGGTGTATAATATCAATTTTGAAGATTAAGTTTTATAGTCGTTTATAATATTTTTAATTATATTTTCTATTACTGTCTTTAAAAATGAGGTTATAATGTCAAACAGATCAGCTCATGTCGACCGTTGTGTACTGAGTGAAGAAACACGTCCGATATGTAAAATGCAAAACTTGAGAGAAACGACAAAATTGGTGTTTTTTTACTTTCTACATTTATTTTCTTGTCGTTTCTGCAAGAGAAAAAACGCGATAGAAGAAAAAAATACAAGCATGCGAAGAAATAAATCATGGGGTGAAACAATCATTTTTTTCATTCTGTAGAGAATGTAAGAGTAACAACACGCCGCGTCAATAACATTTTCTTTTTTTTATATAAACAAGTGGTGTTTTTTTTCCTAACTATTCTAAACATATTCAATTTAATATCATATCATCTTTTTAGAATACAAATAAAAATGTTAACAACAAATGCAACGTTAAATCTTCCATTGACAATTAAAACGGAACCATCAACAAAAAAACAAAATTTATCTGAATGTCGAATATGTGGCGCTCCTGCTCAATATGCATTTTTTGGTGCTATTTCTTGTAATTCATGTAAAATGTTTTTTAAACGAAATGCTACTCTTGAACAAGTTTGTTTTGTTTATTTTTACATAATAATTATTCGTATGATTTAGGAAACATTCAAATGTAATTTTGATGGGTATTGTGAAATAAAACGAAGTAATCGTCATATGTGTGCACCATGTCGACTTAAGAAATGTTTTCAAAATGGAATGTCTACTGATAAATTTCGACCATCAAGGCTACCTAAATTAAAAACAAAATCAATAGTTAAAGTAGAACCACGATATCAATCAGAAAAAGTAAGATAATAAAAATATACGATATATTTTTCTTATTTATTTTTGTTAGTTATCAATATTAAATTCTATAAAACCAGATCATTCATTATTAACTACTAGTCAATGGACACTTCTCTCAAATTTATATAATACTTTTGATGAATCTCAACTTGTATTACTTGGTAAATCTTTAGTAGACACTCATAATTCTTTCCAACCAATAAATATGACATATCAAAGACTGTCAGAAAAATTTTCATCATGTATTTATGAAACAACAGGAAGATATCTTCGTTTGAATGATGATATTTGTAAATTATCATTTACTGATCGTTCCATATTACTTCGTAATGCTGCAGATAATGTATCTTGCATGACTTCGACATTTATTAAACATCATTTTGGTTTATTTAGTCTAGATTCTTATATGAAAATTATGACTGCAATGTTTGACAATCGTGGAATTGCTCTTACTCTAGAGACAATGAAATTTATTTATCCAGATATTATAATATTTAAATTAGCACTTTCATTATTTGCTCTATCAAAAACTATTTATTCATATTCTCCAAATATTTCAATAGATTCAACAAATTCTTCTACAATATTTCATATTCAAAATAAATATGCAGAAGTTACATGGAAATATCTTAATTATAGATATGGTTGGTATGAAGCTGTTAAACATTTTCATAGTATCATATATTGGCTTATGGCTTTAACGGTGTACATGGATCCTGTACAAATTTATAGTACACATGTTGATAATATTGATTCTCTTGTTGAACTAACTGAACTTACACTTATATTAGATGATGTTGAGGAAATAGTAGATACAAAATAGTAATAAACGATTTTTATGTTATATGTGCTTATTGTTAAATCTTTAAAATACATAGAAAAAAAATAAACTGAAAGTATATTTATTCTACAGTATTGATCAAATCTTTATAGAATATCAATGAAATAAATTATGAAAATCTTAATCGAATGCGAAGTTTACATCGTTGAACTAAGTATAAAAGATAGAAAATCTTTTCATTCGACTATTTATTTACATAAATTAAGAAAGATGTTGTAATAATTTAGGTAAAATAGTAATGGCTCGATCGCGTAGATGATAGCGTACAACATGTGATACTTCAGTATCACCTGGATTAATTTCAATTGTAATTGCATTTTTACGTGCAGCACGCAGCACCGGTTCGGCAATATATGGAAATACGCTAGTTGTACCAATACTAATAACAGCATCTAAACCTTTGTTTATTATTTCATAAAGTTGCGTTATTGCATGCATTGGTAACATCTCACCAAATAAAACAATACGTGGTCGTACGAGTGCACCACAACGTTCACAATCTGGTGGTATTTTCATACCTTCGAAATTAGTAACATGTTTTTCATAATTACAAGAAGTGCAAAATAGATCTTGAATATTTCCATGAATTTCGATGAGATTTTTCGTACCGGCACTTCGATGTAAACCATCGACATTTTGTGTGAGTATAGTAAGATGTTCAAATTTTGATTCAAGAGCAACGAGTGCTTTGTGTGCAGCATTGGGTTTAGCGGAACGACAAGCAGACTCGATTTGATAAATATATTTCCAACAAATATCCGGTCGTGTTTGCATTATGTGACCAGAAAGAGCCTCTTCAATTACCATTCCATCTTCAGTCTCTTCTCCATCGCTATAGAGACCACCGATGCCACGATATGTTGGTAGTCCAGAATCAGCAGAAATACCTGCACCAGTAATAACTAGTACACGTTTAGCATGGCGAAGTTCGCTAACAGCTTTCTTCTATAAGAAAAAACCATTCGATAAAGATGAATATTAACACATTACAATATAAAACTATTCATGATGTGAGTGTATGTGATCTTACCAAAATTGATTCTTCTTTTAGAGTAGATGTTTGTGTTGGTATATGATTTTCAGTAGAAAAATATCTTTGACTTAATTTGAAAATATACTTGCGATTTGCGTTAATGATTGACAAAAACTGACGTTGAATTTGATATAACATATTCATGAATAAATACAAAAAATGTTCTTCTTCATTAATCGTAATTTAAATTCATTCTTTTTTTATGAGAGTATTTTACAATACAATAGATCGTTTGTTCATTTACTAAATATCTGTACAAAAGTAAGAAATTTCTATACGTCAATTGTAAGAATGAATCGTATTAGAAGAAAGAATATCTACATTGTTGTTGAACGACATCTGTCATGCGATATTTTTTTCATGGGGTTAACACAAATTAATTGGGTACAAATTAAATGGTCAGTTTTTTATTCAAAATGATCAGTAAAAGGCGATCAGTAATTAAGGCTGTTTTATCAGTAAAAAACTGAAACAGTCAGTAGAATAATTAATAGTCACTGACTTTTGGATTTGATTAGTAGTTTAATTATTTTATCCGTAAAATAATGAATTTATCAGTATCTAAACTAAAATATCAGTAGTTAATTATGTTTGATCAGTGAATCATCGCATTTATATCAGTTTTCACCGTTCTGTAAATATATTTACTGATCGTAATTACTGACATTCGACATTATTTACTGCTCAAAAATGATATATTTACTGATCGAAAAATACTGATCACTTTGTAAAAAAACAACTGATAATTCAGTATAAAAAATTGATCATTTAAATACTACCCAAATTAATTCACTTTTAATTATTATAAAGTATGATTAAAAATATTTTTTAATGTGAATCTAAACAAGAAATAAAGATAAATTAATGCCATTAGTCTTGCTGTCGGTGATATAGACTAATTCGTTAGGAGTGTATTGCAAATTAAATTGAATAGAATAATATCCGGTTTGTAAATTAATTATCTCAATTAAAACTATAATTCAGTCAATGGGTAAAATATGATATTTTCCGTAATTATATTGCCCGTCATCACTGTTGAATTAATTACTTTTATAATTTATCTAGAGGTGTGCGGTGTCGGTGCAAATACTGAAAAAACTGGCACTGAAGTTTATTGATATAGATGTGTCTGACATATCAGTAAACGTCAGTGCACAGCCATCATCAGGATTTCAGTATATTTCAATGTCGGTCGTATTGGTGATTAGTAAACTGGTACCGCACATCCCTAAATAATTTACCGCATCACTCAATTTTCAATAAATTATTCTAGTTGTTTATATCAAAAATTTAGTTTTGTTAAGAATTGTAAGTACAAAGAATTCACAATAATCATCTATCATATATGACAGTTTAAATCATTTCATCATAATTTGTATTTTCTTGACATATTTACCTAGAAAAAGAATGCATTGCCTTTTATTAGTATAAAAGAGAAATAATTATCTTAAGTAATTCGCATAAGAGATATAGAGAATGCTGACATGCATATATATTTTTCTTTAAGTATAGTAGATTCTAAACTCATCAATTTACTTAGCAAGAGCAGATCTTGAAAAAAAAAATATTATTCATTTAAAAAATAGTTAACATGTCAAGCGGTAATTCAACCAACAGCACATTATTTCCTGATAGACTGGTTACCCCTATTATTATTATTATTCTTGATATTTTTGGTATTAGTTCTTGTATCATCGGTATTTGTAAAACATCGATACTTATTTTATTAATCTTGATCCAACGTCGATTAATAAAATCAAAAGATAAAATTCTTTTTCTTCTTAGCTTAAATATGTATATAAGCATATTTGTATCACATCTCTGTTTTTTGTATACATTCACTTCAATGCTCATAGGTCATCTCTATCCAAATAAACCAGAAACAAATTTTGATACATGGACATGTCATTTCATAATATATTTGGCAACTGTTGCTATTGTTTCTACACTCTATTCAAATACTTTTCAAGCTCTTCATCGATTTATAAGAATTATTTATTACAATCGTCCTGCATTCTATCGAAATATATATCTGTATATTTTCGGTTTAATCATTCAAATTTTACTAAGTGCACTTCAACCATTGCCAATTCATCTTACAGGCCACTTTCGATATGAAGATTATCATTGTCAAGTTCGTCTAATAGATTGGCGTGGAATAATAATGGGAGCTGTTATTGTATGGCTTTTACCTGTCTTACCTACAATAATAATCTATATATATACAATACATTTTATACGCCGTTATAGTTTATTGTTTACTCTACAACAACGATCAAGAATCAAACGAGATGTTACTATTATAAAACGTCTTGTATTGTTAATTGTTTTTATCCTTGTATTTGGTATACCTGCATGTTGTACAACTATTGTGTATTATATATTTGGATATGTTGATTGGTGGGCAAATCATTTAACATGGTTGACATTTGTATTATCTTTTATTGGTATAAGTATTTTACAAACATGTTATTCTCCACATCTGCGTATTTTATGGGTGAGAATATTAAATAGATCAATCAGACCACAATAATAACATTTTCACCCTTTACTGTACCTCATTTTGTTCTTAATTTTAATATATATGTTTTCGTTTTTCTTCTAAAATAAACAAAAGTTTTACTATCCAGTTCATCCATAGAAGATTCACCAAGTACAGACTGAAATCGCTTTCTGACGAAGACAAATGTGTTCTAGCAAAAAAGATCACGCATACTACTTGGTAGAGAAGGGTGTGAGTGTGTGGATGTAGGTGTTTCTTCTCTAAACTCACACCTACACCCTGCTTCAGGTGATTTAATACGTCAACGCTTTTATTATCCATTGTTGCTTTTGTCCTTTACAAACGAAAGTAACAACGTAATTTGTTATTGATGAATAAGAGTTGACGTATACATTCATAAAAAAAAGGAAGTGATAACGTTATCAGCGATATGTGCGTTATCAGTTTATGATGTAAGAAGACAATACATGGCATTCTTGTAGAGTAAAGCATTAAGAATAGATGCAAGTGGATCTGACTGTTCGTTTAGTTTTGATGATTGTTTATCTGTCGCATGCACGCTCACACCCAACCTACATCCTCAGTCTAAGATCAATTAGACAATAAAAGTATTTTAGAAAATTTTTTTAGGTAAAAATCAATCTCAAAAAAATTAAAAACAACATCTTTAAAAGTAACTCGTTTAGTTGTACCCAACCATGAAAAAAATGATGAAAACAACTTTGCTTAAATTTTGAATTTGCCGACATCTTATAAGCAGTTAGTAGAATAACAAAACTCGTAGATATTGATTATATAAATACATAAGTCTTGCATCAAAAAATAATTGTAGCTACTTCAGTGTTGAACAGAGTTGCCAAATCCAAATTTTAGAAATCAGCGTTTTTTCGTTGAAAAACAGGGGTTGATCAGTAGACTTTTCTTACAGAATCAGGAAAGTTTCTCTTGAAACCAAAAGGAAAATACGACAGTGTCACGTACTTTATTTGCAAAAAAGCAAAGCTTTTCTTCCTCGACTATTTATAACTTTGGTTTTTAATTTCGAGCAAGAAAAGCGTCTGTCTGAGTGAACGAAACAAAAAAAAACAGAAATAATTACAGATAGTTCGTTTTAATGGTCTTTTCAAAGCTGTTTTTTGAAAAATATGAACAAAACAAATACTAATGGGTTTTAAGAAATCGCCAAAGAATTGAAGTGGAACAGAGTAAACGGTTTCCTACGTGTTTTTTTGATATTGTTGTTTCACGATTGCATTTTTCTTCTGAGTGAATTAGTTTCAACAAACTCGTTACTATTTCAGAGATTTTTCATTTTAATTTTGAACTCAACACCCATTAGAATCTTTTTTCATCCTATTCCTATTATCGTATCTTCAAAATTTTGTTATGACTGAACTTTGACTCATTATTATTTCTTTAAACTTATTATTTATCGGCCTATATCAGCTCTTGAACTGGATCGGTTACGAAAAAAGATCGATTGGTTCGTAGAGCTGAAAATGTTACGGGTTGACAATTTTCAAAAGCCTTCGTTGTCGATCCTGTTTCTGGCCATAAAAAACTAAGACACCACATAAATTTCTGGCACAGTCGGTAAAAAGGGGACAAAAAACAGATTATTAGGGGTGTCACTTTAACTTTAACTTTAACTTTTCGTTTAAAGTAAAGTTAAAGTGACACCCCTGCAGGTTATTTAATTCTTGCTTGTGAGGTTCACTTTAAAAAGATGATTTTTGTCGTATGTCTCATACATGCTTTTCGAAACTGTACCCTCGCACGAAACTGTTTCCTCTCTTCGCTTTTTTGCTATCATACTTTGCTTAAAATTTATTACCGAGTACAGATATGACTTCAGAGTTTCATTAAACTATGATATGTATACTATCGTGAAATAAAACTCTCAATTCATAACTCTGCTCGGCAGTAAATTTTATACAAAGTATGATAGCACATAAACAAAGAGGGAGAAAAGACTTTTGTCTACGGATTTATCTCCTATTTGGGACCATTTTTCTATAAAAAATGTTTTTCAAAAGAATTCGAAATTTTCTCACTAGTTGTTTTTAGCTATTATACCGGAGTGTTTTCGGTACAACATGTGATTTCAATCAGTTTATTGACCAGAGTTGTTTACCATTTCACAACCGACTCTCGGTATTGATTCATATCATGTTGAAACAAAAAATATTCTTAGAAACAAAAACTGAAGACGATTATAATATTTGAAAGAAGTCAAAATGTTCAAAATATTTGGGATTGATGGAAAATGATGAAAAAAAATGTCGAAAAGGATAATGTCGAAAAAATATTAGAAAAATATCGAAAGGAACAAAAGCGAAGACTTCGATGAAAAATAGAATACTATCGAAAGGTAAATATAGAAAAGTGGAAAACATCGAAATGGACATACGTTTGAAAGGAGTGGAAGGAAAACATAGAATGGAAAATATAGAAAAAATCAAAACTGATTTAAAAAGATGTCTATACTGGTCGTTATTTTATTATTGCAATTACTAATGGCTACCACTAGAGGGCGCCAGTGAGTGTGAGTGTAAGGGAGGTGTGGGTGTGGGTATGGCTGAGTGTGAGGAGGTGTGAGTTTGGGATCTCTTCCTTGAGCAAGTACTCAGACTCTCTCTACATCCACATTTACACGCACCCACACCCATCTTGTCATATTAAAATAAAAATTAAAAGCTGCATTTTCGAGATTTTATCTATCTACATCAGTGTTTTATCTAGCTTTTTTCGTCCGAGGGTGCGAAATTAACTGCCGGGACGGCAAAAATCTCTCTTCTGGGGAGGGGAGGGGGCAGGCGCACCCTCCGAGAGGGAAAAAAGCTCTGTGCCTCCCCGCTGGATAAACCACTGATCTACATTTTCCTACTGATTATCTATTCTATTCGACGTCAGTCTTTTCGATCTTTATACTATATACTTTTCCTTTTCGACATTTTCTATTCGACAGTTTTCCTTTCGGCATTTAACACCACACCCATATTATCAGGAGAAATGTTTAAAAATCAGGAGTCTCGTGGCCCAATGAGGGGGTTGGGCAACCCTGGTGTTGAAGGACATCAACTTTTCCCTCCATATGGGCGATGCGTTCACTCTGTCTGTTACAACGTTCGTCTGTTTCAGCCGCCTTTCCTGACAATCTTTCAAATCCAAGATTCATTTGCGTTTCCAGCTTCTCCATTTGTTTTAAAACTTGGCTGGTTTCGTCCTTGATAAATTTATACGTCGCCCCTACAGTGCTAAATATATAGGCCCCTACTACATAAAAGACGCTCACGCTGGATTTAGTCGACATTGATTCTATCAAAAAAAAATGAAGTCAGAAGCAATCGACTAGAAACGAATGCACAAACCTGCCGCAGAACTTGATTGAAGACGAGCGGAGTCGTAAAAGTAGTGAGCAATTGGGCGTGCGCTTGGGATAAATCGTCTCATTATTTTCTTTGTTCACTAAAGAAGAGCAATAAAAATTATGACATATTTTTCTATCAGAAATGAAAAGAAATGAAAGGCAAGAAGGTAGAAAAGAGTTGAAAACGAGCAAGGTGCTTTTGCATATGAACGTCGGTGATCGGCTGTCCTGAAAAAAATCAACAGAAGTTGGTCGAAAAAATGTAATCAACTGGTTAATATCTTTGGTCTTGCGCGTAGGTATGTACAGAGCCTGAGATTCGGGATTAGTCATATTAGAGCTTTGCCCACTCGAGCAAATTCCCTGATGTCTCACTCTCAACTAGTGTAGAATTGGCTGTGGGAACGTGAGTGTGGGTGTCTCATTTATTTTCCTACACTCATCGATCGGCTGTTTTCATGTCGAATAGCTTAAATTCGACAGAGATCAATTACTAGTACATATCACAAATAATCAGAAAACTAGGGCGTGGGTAAGTGTTATTTTTTCATACAAACCCACACCCATCCTCAAGATATATGAGGCTTTGGTGGGTTTCTATAGCTTCATACCTTTTCAATGCCGTCTTATTTTCGAGTTTTGATATGAAACTTTGCTCTCATAAAGACTTTAGCTAGACCAACTTGCAAAAACCAGTTCAGAACTTTCCGGTGAACCCTCTTCGAAGTATGAAGATTTCAAGAAGTACATATTGTGCACACTATCTATAGAGAAGAGCCTATATCTTGGGCTCTTCATACCTCAAAGAGGCTCCCCCAAATAGCTCTGAAACGTTTTTTGTAAGCTGGCCTAGCTAACGTCTTTATGAGAGAAAAGTCTCATATCAAATTCGAAAAACAAGACCACATTGGAAAAGTACGACACCATAGAAAACCCACCAAAGCCTCATATATCGCTAAGAGGATGTGGCTCTCTTCCTCACTCGCACCTCATGCACACCCACATCCACCCATCCACGCTATTTTAGGAAAAAGAGGCCACCCAGGTCGATTATTACGAACTTCGTAAACGATTGAATATGACCGTATACGATCGCGCTTATTTGACGTAAGGCATGAATCGGGATTCTTTTAGTGCTACGCTAGTCTAGAGATATCTTCCATATGCTGAACATATAAGTAATAAAGCGGTGAATGACTTCGAACGGTTCCCTGGTTAGTGTGGGCATGTTTGAAGATATACACCTTTGGTGCTAGGCGCAGAAGAATTTGGCTCTTCCAAACAGTCTAGGTTTCGCGCGAACCTAAAATTTTCCATTGGGTAGAGCGGGTCCTGATTCTTGTTCAGCAAGTCTTAAGTACTTTACTACAGATTTTGACTCATCGAAAGCCTTCCGTGTCTATAATATGTTTCACTACACTCAAGCACTGAGCCTCAGTCTGGGACACAGATTTCTTTGCATTCATCTCTCGGTTCTAGAGATTTTGATTATTAAGGAACTTATTTTTAGAAGGAACGGGCACCTAATTCTTCACTCTATATCTTAGATTCTATTCGCAGGTACCGTCTCCTGCTATAGTTACCTACTGGCAGTTGAACGCGTGAGAAAGAGTACTGTTTGTCTTATGTGTAGAGCTGCTTTATATAGTAGATGTGAAAA